CATCATATTAGCGGTTTCATCCTCGTAAATAGCGTTAGGCCTCAAGGGATGATGATTTTCTTCGAACTTACCCTTGGGACCAACGATCCATGCAATTCTCCATCCAGGAAGACGGAATCGCTTGGTGAGACCATCAATGATGAGAACATCATCCTCGTTGACATCCTCAACGTTCTCAGCAGCGGAGATGGTGGTTCCGTCGCAGTTGCTTGTGTAGTTGTAACCAGAGTAGAACTCATCGCTGATCAGGGTGGCACGGCCACGGCAGATATCCTGGATCTCAGCCAGTTCGGGGTTGGCAACGACTCGGCCGGTAGGGTTACGGGGGTTGGAGGTCAGGATGACTGAAGTACCACGGGCAATTTCTTCGGCGATCTTGTCGGGGTGAATATGGTAGCCATCCTCCTCGGAGAGAGGCACAGGAATGGCGGCAAACTAGAGATGCGGCTGGGTTAGAATCTAATCGAACGCGCCGCGTATTCAGTTGGGGGCAAAGAGCAAGCTCACGTTCTTGAAGAGACTCAGCATTTCATTGTAGGCAGTGTAGTCGGGCAAGAAGAAACTCAAGTACGAGTTGCCCAGAACAGCAGCGATACGGATCAGACCGGCGCGACCACCGGGGACGATGGCCACGTTCTCCCAGGTGTACAAGCTGTCCTTGCCCTGGCGATGGTGCTCATTGTAGAGCTTGGCGACAGCTTCTCGGAGAGGCTTGATACCGGCGGTAGGACCGTACTCTCGACCGGCCATGGAGATGTCGATGGTCTTGGGGCGCTCGAAGCAGCCGGCAATCTCATCCTCGACTTCAGGGGCACCCTGACCCAGGTTGGCCCAGCTGTCGGGGTCCTCGAGGAAGCCATACTCGGAGGCGCGCTCCGTGCACCAGACGACACCGGTCGAGGATCGGCTGGCATCGAGACCGGCGTGGGGCATATGACCCTCGTGGGCATTGCGGAACTGTCGATGAACCTTGGACTGGATTTCTGTAGGTGCCGAATTCCGTCAGTCGGCGCTTGCTTCAGTGGCTTGCATGCTTAGGTAGATAGATCCGTGCTGCATGGGCAGGATTTGGTGGGGGGCGGAAAGAGGAGGGGGGACGTCAGAGTTGGTGGGGGGGCAAGGGGATAGAAGAAGTCGGTGAAGGTGTCTGAGCTGGGCATTTGCTTGCGATTGAAGTCAAGTCGAGACGACTTGAAAATGTCTTGAATCGCTATTGCAGAGCCCAGCAAGACGGGGGGAATTTTTTTTCTCGGCAAGCGCCACCCCAGAGAGCTCCGCGACCAGGTGGGCGCAGTAGCTATGATGCAAGTGCAGATGCAGGGAGGCAATCCAGAGCTTGAAACTCACCATTCAGACCAGGCTCAGCAGTCATGCTGCCCCGTCGAATGACAGGCTTGGGCACGCCAGTATGGCGGTTGATGGAGAATTTGCGTCCGTTGAACGCCATGACGACAGACGGTGGGTTGTGGTATACGTATAGTAGCTTGGAATAAGGACTGGGCCGGCGAGTGTCTCATTCACCAGCGGGTTGGCTATGGGGAAGGACGGGGGAGGGCAGATGCAAAGAAGAGTGGAGGGGAAAAAGCCAACGGGCAAGGAGGTTTTTTATCTGGATTGAGTTGGGCTGGGTTGGGTTGGTGGAGGAACATGGAATATTTAAAGATGGCCATCCTCTGAGGCCCTACCGAAGGAAGTACGTACAATGGGGAAGACTGGGTCTGGAGCTAGGTCATCGAGCTACAGCACAGGTACATTCATGGGTACAAAGATCCCGAGAGGCTTTTCAGGCAAGTATTCGTGAGATGGGAGATGGCCAGAGGCAATTAACCCTGGGGCGGAATCTGGCCTCGTCGAATGGCAGACACGCACAGCAGCGACGTCAGCCAGATCGAGGCCCAGAACAACACAAAAAGCAAAGACTCGCACAGCCCAGGTAGATAGCAGGATTGCGAGCTGCAGCCCTGCACGGGGCCCTACCGCTGGACCAGAAGTACTCTGGACTCGGCGGACGACTGTAACAATAGTAGCAATGGGCCATCTTAGAGCATCTCGCGAGGTAGCTCTACCTCGCATGCACGAGAGCGAACAAGTGAGGTGGTGCTGGGTCCCTGTCTGCTACTAGGACAAAACCAGAGGGCGGGATGCTGCTGTCCAAAGGATCCTCGCACAATTCTTGACTATCAACTCAGCTCGGGATTCCGGCACGGACCAGGGTCCAAACAACGACGACGTCGAGTGTCGGCAGCTCCGTGGCTTGCTCTGGTGCACACGCACAGCCTTTGAGACGTCTGTCTGGGGGATGAGGGTGAGCTACATCAGAGCTACCCGAAACGGGAAGCCTGCTTGGCTCGATTATATGCAATGGCAATGCAGGGTGTGTCCCCCCATGCAATGCATCCAGGCCTGCCCGGCTCCATCGACGCTCACATCACCTCGATTGGGCTCGATGGGACCGCCGTGTGTCTCTGGAGGGAATCTCTGTAGAAACGAGAAGCGGCCGTCCAGGGCCCGTCTGCGAGGAGAATTCTGGCTGCTACACACAGCCGTCGGGCGTCTCTGTACCAGGATGGCCGATAAACGGCATGCAGGTTCCCAGTACGGATCGCCTGTACCTGCATGTCCCTGATAATACTACCCGCGATACTTTCCCGTGCATTGAGACTGAACAGGAGCCAGCCATTTGCTCAATAGTCTCTTAGCATCAGGCATGAATTGAAACACTACATTCGAGCGACTCCGGAACCAGAAGCTCGTAACCTGCAAGCCACGGTGTGGCTGACAAAAGCAACGTTCCTGTTTGGCGGCCTCTGATAGTAAAAGATACTGGCCATGGTCCAGGGATCGGCAGCAGCTTCACTTGTCCATCTACACGCCCAGCGGTTGGGCATCTACCAGCGTGCCGCTCCCGTTTGCAATGTCTCATTTCACCATGCCGTGCTCGGGTACATCAATAAGACCTGCTCTCTACTTACACCCAGCTCGGCCAGCGAAATGGCTCCCGCCGCTAGTTATGCGCCTCATCAGCGACTGAAACGGGGCCCTGATCGCCATAGTCGGTCAGCTCAGCAGCAGCAGCAGCCTCACCATTGCTGGGCCCTCATAAGTCAGGGCGTATGTACATGCTAGCAATCTCACTCTTCAGGGGGCAAGGCTGCTCTCACTTGAGTCTTTTTTTTTTTCTTCTTTTTAATTCTCTCACCCTCAATAGCAAAGTTTCCGGTGCTGGAATGACACCGGGCAGCCATTTACTTTGAATTCAGGGCCCAATCATTTAAAGCAACTGGAGCCATGGCTGTGGGCCGCGGTCAAGTTCCGGGGACTGGCTCCATCTCGCCCGGCCCCTTTCCCTGCAGAGCCAATCTGCTGTTACACTGCTTGTCTGCCTTGAAATTGCTTGCTTCTGCCTCTGCTCCCTTGATCTTCTCCAGACTTTGCCTGCAGCCCAGGTACCGTATACCTTCCAACCTGCCTCGATGCCCAAGGGATTGCACAGCCCGGTCGCTGGAGGTATAAAAACTTGGCCATCCTCCCTCCATATCATGGAGACGGATCCTTGTTCAATGGAAAACCCTCCCTTTAAAGGACCACGCTCCGGGATGGCCCGGCCCAGTCGCCCATCACCTACTCCCAAACAGGCAAGGCTATGGATACAGTCTGGTGATTTGCTTGACGTTTGTCTATTGCATCAACACGATGGCAGCATTCATACCATGCACGGCCCGATGCTTCCAGCCCGTCGCCTCCGGCAGCATCGTGGTTGCGCGTGTTTACACATACACAAATGTATGCGCCTCGCAATGATACCCCCTACTGACTCGACCGACGGAACCAACACACACCCGCACTCTGACAGTCTCCTGATTTCTTGGAGCCTCGACCATCGCCCCCCGCGCCGAGGGATGGCAAGTTTCTCAATTGGCTTACCTGCATACGTGAGCCTGCTTATCTTTGGCTGCAAGTAATCAAGAACATTGCCCCGGTACACGGCCGAAACAAACGGAGAGTATCCCCATCTCGTATTTGCAGGCGAGGCAGCGTTCCGTAGCATGGATGTTCGAGTTCGATATCAGATGTTCGATATCAGATGTATGCGCCCACGGACTGGTGACTTTGGACCCTGACACCACGCGATTTTCTGGACCCAGCGTCAGGGAATTTCCCCGTTGTGGATGCAGAAGCCAGGCTGCCGTTATTCTAGAACCCCAGGAGCCCGCTTCAAAAGGTCTGCATGTGTAGATGGCGATGTCAGGACACCATCTATGCATCCACGTGCAATCCATGCCAGGCGTGATATGCCCATCGGTGAGCGGTATGGAGGCTTTTGTGGCCACCAACACTGTTTACAATTGTGCATGGCTAAGCATAAAAAACTAACTGTTACACCTGACAATCACTACGGTCAGCGTTCACAAAGTTGGCTGAGTATGTTGGGAGTAATTGAGAGTAGGCGGCTCTCCGATGACAATGGCAGTCAGCCGCCAAGACTGCCTTGGGGAACCCGCATGATGGACTGGTACCTGTCCATTAGCGCCAGTTTCCGTGGTGTGGCAAGTACCGCACAAAGACGGCGGGAACCTACAGGGCTTAGCGCGGCAGCACGGCCACACTCAGCCCCTGGAGAGCTCCAATTGTTCCTCCATGGGCTGTGCGATGAAAGCCTAAGGCAAGTTGAGGCTCAATTGCAGCCGTGCAAGACACTCCCCGAGGCGTGCCTTGTTATCTGAGCCTCGCAAGGCTGTTACAGTTGGGAATTGGCAACTCCATACATGATCTAGCAGTAAATGAAATGAGATAATATAAAGAACCGCTGGACGGCCGGGTAGATGCACAGAACAAAGCAAGCCGATCAAAAGAAAGAAGCAAAACACACACGCAAACATCGTATCTGAATCACTCGGCGTAGGAACTCTCCATTAGCACAAAGCCACCAAACAAAGGCCAATTAAACCGGGCAACTAGCCAAAGTCTAACTCCATCTCTACTTTCCATAAATTTCCACGATGGCCTCCGTCTACCCCGGCTATTCTCACTCGCAGTGTCACTACCAAGTGTATACTCCCCCAGCAACACCGCCTTCTGAGTGTCGATACCTGAGCAGCAACCCTTTCAGAACTCCGCGAGAAAACACCAAGATGTCGTTTTTCGGATCCATCAAAGGAAAGTTCTCGAAGAAGACCTCCAACAACCCCTTCTTCAACGATTCTAAGGATGCTCGTAAGTATACCCCTCCTGGATTCGTGATACCTTGCTCTCTCAACCCGCCTGTTCCTAACTTTGATCTCCGACAGTAGCTTCGGATCCGCCTCCAGCATACACCCAAGATGCTCCACCTGCCTCTGAGGCATCTTCCGCTCTCGACATTCCCCGTGCCCCTTCTGCAGCCTCTAGTAGGGCGAGCAGGATTAGCAGGGACATGGTCACGAATGACGATGACCCGTATGCTTTCCTTACCACCTTCGATACCATCTTCCTTATCGATGACTCGTATTCTATGACGGGTTCAAGGTGGGAGCAGGTCCGGCAAGTTCTCAAAACAATCGTCCCGATCTGCACCAAGCGGGACAAGGATGGCATCGACCTCTACTTCATCAACCACATGTCCAAGAATAGGGGAGACGCCGGCGAGGGCAAGGCTGATGGTGGCTACTACAACATCACCAACCCGGACGCCGTCACCAAGATCTTCAACGGCACCCGCCCCGCCGGATGCACCCCCACCGGCCAGCGCCTGAGGAGCATCCTGAAGCCTTACCTTGCCCAGCTCGATGCGGCCGGGGACCCAGAGGCTGTGAAGCCCATCAACATCATCGTCATCACCGACGGAGTGCCCACGGACGACCCGGAGAGCGTCATTGTGCAGGCCGCCAGAAAGCTCGACGACCTCGACGCCCCTCTGTACCAGGCCGGCATCCAATTCTTCCAGGTCGGCAGCGAACCCTCCGCCAGCAAGTCCCTCAGGGAGCTTGACGATGATCTTGTCAAGCAGGGCGTCCGCGACATGGTGGACACCTGCTCATGGAACCCCAACGGCGGAAAGGGGGCGGCCAGGGGAGAACTCACCGCATCGCAGATTCTCAAGGCCGTCCTTGGAGCCGTGGTGCGCAAGATTGACCGGGCTTCTACCCCATAGCAAGGAAATTCCGTTGAACTTGGTCTCTTTCCAGGACTGGACGCTTTTCTCATGTCGTCTTCTTTTCTCGTGTATTGTTTTGCTATCACTTTTTTTTCTTTCTTTTTGCCTTGATAGATCGAACTCAGAGCAATCTGACATTACAAAGAGGATATCAAAGCCCAGGAACAAGTTCCTTAAGAGGCTTTCATGGTCCCGGTTGGAGTTTACGGTAAAGATGCTATTACAAACAGGTGGGAAAACGGCACTCGGATGGACCAGAATCTACGGAGTAGTACACAGTTTTCCAAAGCAATAAACCTTTCCATGCGCAGACTTATCTTTGTTGAATCTCGTGACTAATTGCACTATAAACCCCCAGCTGTAGCAATAAGAATGCTCTTTGATATCGGGACCTAATTGACGGGAAGCATAAAACCCGCATCCCTTTCCTTTTGACTGTACCGTCCAAAACAAACAAAACGCCAAGCAAGTGTGAGAAAAGGCTGACAGAGATCAGAAGCTCCCTTACCCCCTTTCCCAACCACGAACGATATCCTATTTCTGTTTTTCTTTCTTTTCGGCCTCTTGTAAATCGCAAAAAACTATAACCCATCCCAGTATTTTCCACCGTGCATGACTTCCCCTGAGTCGAACTCGCTTCGGAATCTAGGCGACGCAAGTACAGACCCTAAGAAGCAGCGGCAAAACCAAAAGGCAACAGTCCTCAGTCAGATAAGGAAAACGAAAAAAAAAATGAGTGAAAACCGACGTATTCTCTGAATATCTCTCCTTTGAAGCGGAGCAACGCGACCACGCCAATACTTGCTTCCCATCTAATGCATCGATGTGTAAACTAACCTGAAGACATGTTAGCCACTGATCAAAATAAAAGAAAGAGATGGGGTTTGGAGGGGGGACGAACTCCGTAGATTCATTTCTGTCCTCACCGTAACGCATCGTACTCGAACCCATTCTGGGGCTCTCTGTTCTGTTATAATCTTGTGCCCCTAATGTGGCCTTCCCCTTTACCGACCGGAAGAACTGGCGACAATTCTTGCCCACGGGTCCAGGCTTGCGGGTACACACATCACTGCATGCAGATGACATCCGCGTGCGCCACCGAGTGCGCCGAGATGTTGGTCCCCGTGTCGTTGCGGCAGGTGATGACGGGCGTGGTGACGAGCGCGACGCGCCAGTGCTTGGCCTGCAGCTCGGTCGGGTCGACCTGCACGGGCCAGATGGGCGTCATGCTCTGGCTCGAGAAGCGGCTGCCGATCTCGGGGAAGCGGAAGTCAAAGGTCAGTCTGCTTATGAGGATCCTCGAGGAGAGCTCCCACGCGTTCTCCGCGACGGCGATGAGGTCCTTGAAGGCGTCGTACGCGGACGTGTACTCGTTCAGGAGCGGCTGCAGGTTCGTGAGCAGCGAGCCCGCGATCTGCTCGATCTTGGACTTGTAGAAGACGGAGCCCGGCTCCTGCTTGTCCATGATGGCGCAGATGATTGATGCCTGGCGGTCCAGGAGGGGCTGGCGGACGGCGGATGCCTGGCCTGGCGGAGGAAACGAAACGTTAGCATGTTCACTTCAATACTTTTCGACCGAAGGTTGGGAAGAAAGATAGGAGGGAAAACCTACCTTGGGTTGTTGCAAGGTCTATGATCAAGTTGTCCAGAAGGCGCGAAGACTCATCTTCGCTGCCCTTCCAGGCACTAGCCACCCAAACAATGTTGACGACATAGTCGACAATGACCCGGGTCACGAGGCAAAGCTTTGACGTGCCGTCCCTAAGATGGAAGTCGAGGTAGGCCTGGGCCTCGTCCTGGGAGAGCGGGAGGTATGTGCGCAGGAGAACCGGCCAGATGGCCGTGTCGTGCAGAGAAGCCGGGTGCTGGGCGAGGGGGCAGCCCGCGTGCTTGTCGACAAAGGTCCGGATGGTGGCATAGAAGTCGGACATCTGCCTGGACCATTCGATGACGGTGCGCTCAGTCATGTGGATCAGGGACGGGGTGTGCCGGCCGTTGCGGCCCACGAGCGCAGAGCTGTTGGTATTGTTCACATTGAAGGGGTCCTGGAAAACACGGGGCTCGTCACCCTCAGTCAGTCGCTGTGGACTTGGAAGATGATATCTAGGATACCAAGGGTCTTGGTTCACATCGTCCAGGGGTGTCACTGGCCTCTTCGGCGGACTACTCACAGCAGGCGAAAAGATAGAAGTTGGGTAAAAGTCTGGGGCACCACCCCGATATGAGGTTGGGAGCTGAAGCTGGCTGCCTCGGCGGGCAACGCCATTCCGGTGGCCGCCACCAAAGGCTGGCGGCGCACTCGCAAGCGGAGTGTTGACATGACGAGGTACACTACCTCCGTTGGTGTGAAACCAAGGGGTTTGGGCACCGCTTCGATGTTGGTTGACGGTGGGTGCTCGTGGCGGACCGGCCTGCAATGGTGAGAACTTGGTTGGCATCACGGTAGAAGTGCGCTCCATGGGCTGGAAGGCAGATGGTGCCCGGGTCATGGCAGCGAAGTTGCGGTACTTCTGCCGAGGCTCTTGGGTCGCGGCAGGAATCGGATCACTGGTGGCGAGGAGGTTCTCCTTTGAAGTCTTCATGCGGAGCGTCTTGAAGCTCCTGGCAATGGCATCCTTATCCTTCTCGGGCACCGCATCAGCCAAAGTTTCAATCGCGCGGGCGAGAGAATCGGGGCTGGGATGCTTCATCACCCAAAGGGATCGCCGATTGTTCACCTGTTCCTCCAGATGCTGAACGGTTTCTTCAAGACCCTGTGGTGGGGATTGGGCCTCGTTAGTAGGACGAAAACATGCCTCGAGTTGTTGTATTACCTTAATCAGCTTCCCGCATCCTTCGTGAGAAGCGTCGCAGTTCTGGGCCGACTCCTTCAAAGTCTTCGCCTCGTCAGTCACGCTATTAAGATCGTCCAGTATCTGCTTGACGTAAACATCTGTCTCTTCGCGTCTCTCATGCGCTTCGGTAAGCTGTTGGCGGAGGTGGTTGACCTCCTGGTCCTTCTGGTCCACGGTGGCCTTGAGAAGATTGGACTCAATGCTCATTCTGATAACAGCCTGATTATTTTCCTGGAGCTCCAGGGACGAGCTCATCAGGTCGCGCACAAGTTGATTAGTATCTTGACTGATGATCTGTCCCGCCTCCTTGAGCTGGTCATTAATCTCTTTAGATTCACCGGTTGAAACTCCGGGCATGCGTCGCAAAGCTGTCTGCACATTAACCAAAACCTCCTGGATGCTGCGAGATCTTTCAATAGAGGGCTGTTTTTAAAAAGATGGTTAGTCTTGCTTCCAATGACTTCTCCCACTAGGTGGCCGTCTTGTCACTTACATGATTCTTTGTCATCTGTTTGATCCTCTCCTGTCGCTGATCCCCTGCCAGGGGAGCAGAGAAGTCGACAGAAAGCATCGGGCCTAGATTGGATCGCTCCAAATCGTAGTCGGTTCTTGTCGAGCGAGTTCCGAGAGTCCCACCACCGGACTGATCCGTGGAACTCCTTGGGGAGTAGACCTGCTTGCCGTTCATAGCAGTTCAAAGAAAACACCTCTCGAGAGATTAAAGTTATCTTTTCTCGCCTGTTAGTACAGGCAGGAGTTAAATCTGTAGACTTGCAGCCGATCGAGTTCGCGGATCTCCTGAAACCGAGACTTTTTGGTCTCTGTACACTATTAGTTAGTGAAATCCGGGCAAGCAGAAAATGACTTCGAGTAAGTGTGATCAGGCCACGACCATGAAAAAATAAAAACAAAAAGCAAGAGGGGGGTTAGATTGTAGATATTGAAAGAATATATTGTTGTCTAAGCGACAATAGGAAGACCCCCACGGAAGGGGAAGTGAATGGTAGAAACAGCAGCGGGGTAAATGCTCACTTACTTCGAAAAGCTGAAAATAAATGATCCGTGTTCGGGATTTGCTATCACACGAGTTCCCAGGATAATAGAAACGACCAACTGCCCAGGATGAAGCTATGCGTGCCTACACAGCGCGAGTAGACTAGACCCGAAGATCAGAACACGAGAGAGCCTGGTTCTTCGCACCCAGCATATGAAAACCTATGTCTTGAAATATGATGGAGATTGTATTCCGAGATGGATTAAAGAGGAAAAAGTAATGGTGGGAGAACAAGGGAGTGAGAAAGAAGTAAGGAGAAGAATGTGGGTGGGAAAGGGAGGTCAAGGTGAGAAGAGAAGTGAGAGAACGAACAGGGCACGGTCTAACAAACCCTTCTCCGAGAAGTGAGAAAATGGTGAGAAGTGACCTGAGATTTCCTGCTGGCCTGGAGGCAAAATATGGACGCGACGCCTGTTGACAGTTGCCAAAGGATGATGGGTACTTGGCTGTAAACTTGCAATACTCCCCTAATTCGAGGCAAGAGAGAGCAGGGGGAAGCCTGGAATAGGACTGAAGAAAGAGGCAAGGAGGGGAGAAAAGAAGTCAGAAGGAAAAGTAGGGATGTCCGTTCACCACCCACGGGGCCGTGTCGAACTGTTGCGCGAACTCGAGTTGCACAAAACGCGGCCCTCTGCGGTGTGCAGCAACCACCACTGCCTGGCTGGGCGGCTTGCCAGGCACCAATTTCGCCTTGAGGAAAAAGTGAGACGGCCGGCTGCTTACTGCCACTTGGGCAGCGAATTGCCTACAAATTAGCAGCATCTGTGGCAAGGCAGATGGGTCGGCTCGCATTTCTCACCATGAGACCACCGCAGAGCTCTGGGCGGTTCAATTTTCTGCCTGGTTACTCGCCCCAGCGGAAGCCAGCATCGACGCCCGGCTACCTGCATAACAGTAAATCTCTGGAACGATCGAGAACGTGACACTTGACTCGGTGCTAAGCGGGCAGACAAGACTCCTGGCAGCGCCATGCCGGGGGCTAGTTATAACGTGATTGGAGAATCAAACGTTCTTGAGAATTGACCGTGGGATTGGGGACAAAGTTCACTGTGCGTACACCAAGCAAAGAGGAAGGAGCGATCAAAACTTTCAAGGTTGCATTTTTCATCTTTTAGCTATGGGACAGGTCCCAGAAAAGTACCTTACGCCATGCGATTAAGCTGCAAATATCACCCCAACACCGGGAACTATAAAAACGAAAAGTACAGAAAAGGAAAGGGGAAAAAGAAGACGGTGCTCGATCAAGTTGGAGATTCCTAAGCATACAAGAATCAGTAGTAGACAGGTGCAACGGGTCAAACCGTAAAACTATTGGCGTTTGAGTTCTAATTACGGTTCCCAGTGTGGTCGTTGTCTTAAGATTCGATAGTCGAGGCGAGGCGTGCAAGTTCAATCTGCTGCACTGACAGCCGTTCGGCATGACAAGTGCTTAGTCCGATCTAAAGCGTGAATTCGTAGGTGATAACGACGGTTATTTGGCTGCGATAGCCGAATGTGGAGAGTGCCGTCCCGAGAAGCCATAACGCGATGGTATTCTGCGGTATGTAGTCTTAGCGAGAGGGGCTCAAATACTGAGGACATGCCGAGGACTCTTGCTAACCTGCGCGAGTCCTAGAAAGCCGCAAGTTGATAGGCAAACATTATTAGCCTCAGAATGCCCGAGAGCGGGAGAACAAACTGCTGTAGACGGCATCTACAACAGGCGACGCGTCGATCCTTCGCCCACCAAAATATCTGCCGTTCAGACCCTTGATGGCATTTTCACCGCCCTGAACTTTGTCGAACTTCAGGTAGATGTCGCCCTTCGAGTTCGGGTCGACTGATATGTGGACAACATGTCCATAGCTGGTTTCTGCTTCCTGTCGCACATCATCTTCTAGCTCTTTCACCCAGTCTTCACCTGTCTCCCTGCACCATGCATTAGTATCGCAGTTCTTAGCTGAGGGGGTTGGTTGGTGGACAGAAACACACTCTTCCGGGTCAAACACATTATGTAGAACCACACATCGGCTGGCTTTGTTTACGTTAACGGGTAATGGCTTCACCTCTGCCTTCGGTTTCAGCGTATGACGCTCTTCGTTGCCATTGGTGGCACTTTCGTCGGTTCTGGCAAGTTTTCTCATTAATGCATCGCGACTGTAGTTGCTAAAGTTAACTCCAGCGACATCGGTGTCGTCGAGGGCGCTAGCACCGCCTGCCTTCTCAGTGTCGCGGCCTCCAGCACGGTCGAACCCATTGTTCTGGGAGCCTCGACCTCCAGCACCGGAAAAGGCCGAGCCTTGGAAGTTGCCATTGTTCTCGCGGCCTGAAAACTTCTGTAACAAGTTCGCTGTACTTTCAGGGGTAAACTTATCGTTACCAAGGCCAACACGAATAGGACGACCTGCTAGATCAAAGCCGTTCATTTTCTCCAGGGCTTCTCGGGCCTGGCCAGCATCACGAAACCTAGGCGGTGTATTAGCAGACGACTCAAAGCTTGGATAGAGATGGGGGGTAACGTACTGGACGAAGCCATAGCCACGGCTGCGGTTATTTTCGTCCTTCTGGAGTTGTGCGAATTCCAGCTCTCCGAAGGGTTCGAATACAGCCTGTAGATCCTGCTCGGTAACGTTGAAGTGAATATTGCCCACGTAAAGCCGGTGGAATGGGATCGAGTTGGGGTGTCCGCCTCCAGACTCCGAGTTTCGGGCTTGGCGATTCTTCTCAGCCTCGGTAACCTGGACGATGATGGGAATACCTAGGAGCTTTTGGCCCGTGAGCTGCAGTGCCTGGGCAACAGACTCTTCATTTTTGAATTCAACGTAGCCGACTCTATAAAACATGTTAGCAAATAAATGGGATGTTGGAGCAGAACCATGAAATAAACGTACCCCTTGGAGCGAAGGCTCACTCGATCTTTAACAATCTGCGCTTCGTTGACAGGGCCAACTTTCTCGAAAAATTCCTTCAGCTCACGGGTGCGCAGGCGAGCTGCAAGTTGCTGAACAAACACAGTACGGGAGTCTTGTTCGTCCTTGGATGGTTGCGGGGTTCCATCACGTTGGCGGTCCTCCGTCTTAACGCGGTCCTCAGGTCTGTCACGGTCGTTGTTGCGATCGCGACGTTCTCGGCGATCGCGGTTATCACGAGGGCGGTAGCGACCGTAAGGTGAACGGGATCGGGAACGAGAGCGGCCTCGACCGCCTCGGTAGTAGTCACCGTCTCTGTGACGGCGTGAGTGACGTCGATCATCATCTCGACTTCTGCTTCTCCGCCTACTCTTGTGGCTACCGGTGTCGCTTCGGGGAGTGCCCTCGTCAGGCGAACCTCGTCTGCTTCGATTTGGGCTCACATCCCGCCGGTCCCGACGACGTCTGTCATGATCTCTGTCTCTGAAACGCGTGCGACTATCATCGCGATTCCGACCTCGATCGCGATCCTGGTCTCGACCATTCCGATTCGATGACTCCTGCTTCGCCTGGTCGTCAGCGTGAGTGGTTGGGCTCTTTTGCTCAGCGGTAGCATCAAGCAGTGCTTCTACATCCAAGCTAGCCATGCTGTCCTAATGACTGTGTCAACTTGTGAGAGAAGAAAGCCAGTTACAAAGGCAAAGAATGGAGTCTCCCTTGAAACCCTTGTTAATTGCGTGATGACGATGTGGTGTAGCAAAAATAGCAGGTGATGTGTGAGGGAGAAGCCAGGTGGGCACGGGAAGTGCTGTGGGGAATTTCAATGTTTTTGCTAGCGGCTCCAGGCAGCACGCTCACGTGACTCCCTCGACATGGAAAGCATGCTGCACTGAGTCGTGCTCATGGTAAGTGCGATTCATATGCGACAATGGGAACACATTCATGAATGGTAATTCTCAGCCTATTGATTCACGAACAGGGACAGACATACATCAATGAGATCTTCTTTCTTCAACGATCTTTCAAGTGTACGGGGGAAAATAGGAGTGATTGGTTAGCGAGACCCATTGACCAACGTACTTGTCCCTGTCTCGATTGAAACTACCTATTAAATCGTCATTAGGAGAGCACCCCTGCTCTTTCGTTGCATTACAATATTACATCCGCCGATATTCAAAGCCTCCTCTCGCCTGCGACACTCATGTCCACCTTTTCTATTTTATAAAACTGGCAACAGCCTCCATAGTAAACCAAACTCAGAACTCCCCAATGTAAGGCTCTGAGGTAATCTAAACTCCAACTCCTAACAGTGACTCCAGCTCATCATGCGTACCTTGAGAGGTATTATAAGTTGTAAAATTTCTAAATCCACCGATGTGAATGTCATGGCCGTTCGCCTTGCAGATAATCAGGACTGGGGATGATGGGATTTCTTATTTGGTCTTAGGCTCAGCGCTTAATGTAGTGCCAAAGATCTCATCCCAGAACCTGCTAGTAACGCCGAAGCCAAGGTCGTATTCGAAGTAATGGTGCTGAAGATGGTATTTCTTGAGCTCCTTATACCAGCCAGGTAGATTTTGGTGATGAAGAAAGTAGTGCGTCAAGTCGTAGCAAATATAACCGAAGACACCGCCGCAGTATACTGCGGTGCCCACGTACCAGTTGAAAGAGAAGAGGGTATGGGCCAATTTCCAGAATGGCAGCGCAAGCACTAAAAACATAGCCGGGGGCATGACCAGCCGATACTTGTCCATGGGGAGATAGTGGTGGACGCCATGGAGAAGAAAGTGCAAGGTTAGGGCAGCTCGATTGTCTGGCAGGTAGCTTTGGAATCTGATCAGCATTGCTCGCAAAGGTCAAGAATAAAAGGAGGGAACCTACTAGTCAAGGTGGAAGAGAAATCGATGCAAGATATATTCGATCAAAGTCCAAAGGCAAATGCCAGAAACCCAACAAACAGCCAACGCAAAAGGATGCAGGCCTTGACTGGCAAGAAAGGTACCGTAGGCAACGTTTGGGAGCCAAAGCGTAGGGATAACCCACCAGGGTGTCAAGGACAAAGGCTCAAGAAAATTGCCAAATAGAGGGGCAGACTTTCCGCCCTTGTAGTGACGTGGGCGATGAACCTGGTCTAGGTAGAATTCCTTACTGAAGCCACCGAACCACATCTGAGGCAGCAGTGGTCGGCCCAGATCAAGAAACTTGTGCTTTTTATAGTCTTCACCAAAGTTGGTGTCCTTGCTCAGATCCTCTTCGCACGACATACCAGTTCGAGGGTGAACGTAGACGGTCTCGCTGGCCGCCTTGCCATTTGTGCCGGCATGGCCGTTCGTAGCAGTTCCATTGGTCTTCTCAGAGATGACGAACCCCACCAGAACTTCGTCTAGAACGTCATACGCGGCTTCGGAATGGGTGTGAGAGGTGGGATCCTTGAGGATCTCCTCAACATCTTTGCCGGCATAGTCGAGGACAAGGTCGGCACCGCCAGGGTGGTCGTCGGCAAACTCGGTCAAATCGTAGACCTTGGACCCGATGGTCACGTAGCAAGATTTATCTGAGTTGTGCGATTCAACCTCAGCACGAGTGAAGGTTGGAAGTGTTCGGCCAGGCATGGTTGGGTTGCGATCTGGGGGCTCGAATTGGGGTGTCCGGATCGCGCGGGTAGGGTCAGGATTAGAGATCAGAGGGAGACGACAGCGCGGCCAGGCCGATTCACTGGATAGGATCTCGCTGGACAAAATAGGTGAATGCTGGTCCGTAATCGAGTTGTTATAATACAGAGAAGCGGGAGGGAACGAGAATCAAATAATAAAAACAGGACACGACAGCTTGTCCCAATTAAGAACCTACGGTGAAATGAATGTCGATTGATAATAGGAGGCAGAAAATAATTAAATGGGCTCCAGATTATCTTAGTAGGCAGGGCTCGCCGCAGATCTGCACCCTTACTGGCTGAATCAGTGGCCAGGGGGAACATCCAACGGCGATGGGTCCCCACCACGGCGACCTGGATCTCCGGATGACACCACTATAATTGCTCCTTCTGAAGCTGGACGTGGCCTGAGAATTGAATTATTTTCCGTCACGATCAGATCCGATCAGATATCCCATGCAGCCATGGAGCAAGATTGATAAGATCTCCCATGCAGCGTGTCTGGAGTAGAGATGCCTGGTTGTACTTTACGTGTATCATCATTGCCGCCATTAGCTCAAGCCACCAAGCTGTCCCTTAATTTCGGTGCCTAACCTTATGAAATGCCAACTGACTGAGTTGGGTTGGATATAATACGCAACCCCCCGAGGTGCTGTAGGCTGCCATCAACTCAAGCTACCTAGCTAGGTCCCTTAATTTCGGTGCCTAACCTTATGAATGCCAACTGAGTGAGTCAAGCTGGATATAATACGCAACGCCCGGGAAAATGGCCCGAGGTGCTAGGCTGCCACACCGAGCATTGAGTGACAGGCCATTACGTCCTCGAATTGCATCTTCCAATGATACTATTATTGTTCTTTACGACACCGATAGTCGTTGATCGACCAAAATCTGCACTACAAGAACGCATCACTTTCTCTGACAATTGACCAGACCTTCCAACCAATCATGTGTCTAGATTCGTGCGGCTACCTCGGAACTCAAACGCCTAGAGCAAACAGACATCAGCGCCAAGATGCGAGATGGGGGAAAGAATCAACCACACAGAGTAGTAGGAGCCGAGCAGGTAACCTCAACGAAATGCAATGCAATTTCAATCACTCGAATCTTAGGCCTCGATATGGCCAATCATGCAAGCAACCCTACCCTTCCATCCCACCAAGCCGCCTACAGCAACTGTGGCTCAGGCTGGCTCAGCTATGTAAGTGTGGCGCAGGACCAGGCGCAGGGCCACCGTAACCCCGCCGGATGTCGCCACATTCGGCAGCAACACGCCTGACGTAGTCGCATCAGTGATTATGCGCTGCTGGAAATCAGGATCTAATGTAGGTAGAATTGGGACGGTCATCAGCTAACCCTCGTGGTTTCCCGGCGCCACCCGTTAATCACCCAGTCCAAGTCTGTCTTTATCGCGCCTCTCTTACTCTTTCTCTCACCTTATCTTCTAAACACCACAACTAGAGCGGCTTGCCCTCCAACATCTCTCTCTGCTGTACACAATTCTGATTGTCGTTGATTTGCGTCATGGGCTCGTTCGGTTGGTCGCGGGGTAGCAGCCTGATCTTGGCCCTGGCGATTTGCTTGCTCGTGCTCCCAGGCCGAGCTGCTGCCTTTGGAGCTGGAAACATTCCGTCAATTGCACAAGTACGAAACCCGACACCTTCTCTTTTTGCCTCTTTGGCGTTACCCTCATTGCTACTCGTTGGGAGCTGACATTCCCCTCCTTGCTACTAGGTTGAGGGTCACAATTGGCGTCATGGAGGTAAGCGCTCGCCAATGTCTGTTATTTGCTCGGCAGCAAGATTTCCATCTCAGCCGCTTTCCCGGTCCCCGTGTTATTGAGAATTTTGCCTTGTGATACTTCGATAGTGGAAGTAAAAAATATGTCAAATTGGGTGCTGATATTACGACATCTTATGCAGATATTGAAGATATGCTGGCCACCATCGCTTTCTTGCATGGCAAAAAGTGGTCTTCCATGAACATCAAGCGTGTTTACTTTGGCAACTTCCTTCGCGACTACTCCCAGGCATTGGACCTTGGTACTCTGAAATCCGTCAATGCGGAGACGATTCGTATCCTGGTATGGGTTCTTTCATTCATGGCATTTGGCTACGCCACAGAGGAGTTTGAGGTCACAAGTGACAGACTTGGAGTTTACCGTGCTGAAGAGCACATTGACAATCCTCTTGGATATGGGGAGGGAGTAGACGCCCGAACATTCGACCCCCGCCTCCGTGGGCCTGTGATCAAGGCTGAGACTGAAATTGACATGCGCACCGGAATGAAGAATTACATTGCCAACGAGACTGGACAATGGCCCACCAGCTCTGGATATATTCGATACAGCTTTGCCCGGAGTATTCACTATGGGCGTCTCTATACTAGCGGTTCGCAAAGACATGGTAACGAGGACGACCTGTGTGAAGCCCTGCGATGTCTCGGACAGGCATTGCATTGTCTGGAAGATTTCGGTGCCCACAGCAATTACTGCGAGCTCGCATTACGAGAGATGGGATATCGCAATGTTTTCCCCCATTGTGGAACTGCTGCCGAGATCAATGTCCGTGGCAAGAGAGTTTATCCTCTTGTCACCGGCACCGTGAGTTCATATGTCTCGCTTACCCTGAATTGTCATATACTCATATTTACTAGTTTGGAGCTGTGGACTTCCTTCACAGTGTGATCGGCGAAGCAACCGATCATTTTACCCAATCCGAGGTCGAAGAAGTTGACATTGCGCTTAAGAATGCCGAGAACAATACCAGCGGCAAGCGAGGAGAAGATAACTCACGAGGCCTGTTTGGGCTTGGAGGCTCAGGAGGTGGTGATTTCATCTCTCTGGTTGGCAAGCTTCCTGGTGTCGGTGATGGTTTCGCCGCTCAGGCTAGAGATCTCAAGGCTCAATCAGAGGCCCAGGAGCGCGAGAACCGGGTTCGTGCTGATGCCCCTGCGGCCGCTCATACCAACCCAAACCAGATTCCAGGAATGAGTCCCGACTTTGATCCCGTTAAGACTGCCGGACGAATCTATCCCATTTTGCAGTTCCGCGACAAGATTGTGAAGGCCATCAGCCGAGGTATCGCCAAAGTTCCAGGCCTCGAGAGTCTTCTTGAACACATCAGCGAAACCCTGACGGCATTCATCATGGGTCTCCTTGCTCCCTTTATCCGCCCCATCATCAAGGCTGTCTCCAAAGCGCTGAAGGATGGCTCATCCGGGGTCATCAGCGCCAGTGCCAGGTCTCAACTCGAGCCCTGGGAAAACCCTCATTGCTCTGATCCCACACACAGTATGCTGGCCAAAGACCACTTCACCAACATTCTGAACTCATGTGGCGGCCGGGTTGCTGTCACCATTCTTCAATACGCCGTTCCGTAAGAATTCCATCATGCACAAAATTCACCATCCGGAACAGTATTTACTAACTCTCACATTCACAGCCGTATCCTCTACGCATGGGAGAATCCGGGAGTGCCTGTCGACGAAGTTGCTAATGATATCCTACGGGCTTTCCACCATCCTAGCCTTCGCGACGACAATATCCAGCTTCACCGAGACATGTTCGCGACAGTCAAGAAGTGGGCTGACGAACACCCAAAGCGCCACCAGCTCGATTCCATCCTCTCCTCCGAATCTGTCAAGAAAGGTAAGAACCACGTCCTAGAACAGAGCCAGCATGGCTCCAGGGATGGCGGCCACTCCCACTCCCATGGCGCTTTCGAAGGGCTCGGCGGCCATGGCAAGGTTGCCGGCTCCCTCTGGAGCCAGGTCCGCACCCGCGACCTCAATGCGATGGAGGGCAGAGACGGCGACCCGACCCATAGCTACCAGTCTCACGCCTCAGCGCCACCAGGCCCGTCTTTCAGCTACGGGCAGAACGCCCAGTATCAGTCCGGTGGCTACAACGCTCCCCCTCCACAGTCTGGGATGTACAACTCTGGATACGGCCATGCACCGCCTCCTGGTCCTCCCCCGCCTCAGGGTTACGGCTCTGCTCAGGATTACTATGCTGCAGCAAGCGGTCAGTCACAATCCGGATCCAACTGGGGCCAATATCCTGGGCAATACCAGCGCCATTGAGCCGTGTTCGCTTAGAATGGTGGGTGTGTTTACGATACAAAATCACGGTTGCCAATGTCTGCTGGGAGGGATGGTTTTGAGAAGAGGGGGATCCGCGCTTTATTTTATTGTCTTCATGCCAGTCAGCTGCACATACAAAAAAAAGGTACAAAAAGATAAGATATACATGAGAATTGACAGCCCACGAGTGAAACTTTACCCGTGGCCGCCCCCAAAATCATAACAGGGCTAACCCCGAGTTATGAGAGAAGGAAGAAAGTGCAAACTCCAAATGCCATGCTATATAACCAAGAATACACACAGAAATGCAGGCGCAAGGGAATCTCAGGAGCGAACGCTCAAGCTGTCCCATCTGGCCTTGCTAGCCCAGCTAGATGGGCTGAATGACTGAAGCTGACAAGGCTGTTCTCTTCTATTATGCAATTCCGCTCGTGAAAAAGACAAAACAAAAGGGATTTATCATCGCTGAACTCGTCTCGGATCTCCCGCCTCAGCCCGCCTAACGTCGCGAATCTCCTTTGTCCCCAAGCTTCCCACTCCGCCTTCTGAGCGTCGCTCCCAGCCACCAAGGCGAACAACCTGGCACGTAGCATTGTCACCGTCATGGGACACCTCGGTGGCATAGTCAACGACACTCTGAGCTCCTTGCTCCGGCGTCCTGGCCTCCTTGATGACGTCTACAATTTCCTGGTCGCTTAGGGTGCCAGAGACACCGTCGCTGACGAGCACCAGGAACGAGTACTGCGCCGGTGCCATCTCGACGCGAGTGATTTCGGGCTCGGCGGAGACGCCAATGCGCTTGCTCTTCATATCGCCAAAGGCGCGGCTGTTGGCAAGGCCGGCAATACGCTCCTCTCCGAAACTATCGTTAGATACCATGGAAGAGTATCGGCGGAGCCGGCGGTTTTCCAAGGGAGTGCCGGGGTGGTGGTCTGATGTTAATGGATGAGGAAGGCCAGTGGAGGTGTCGCAGAGAAGCACCCTCGTGTCACCAACGTGGGCCACCATGAGCGTCGAGTGGGCGCCGGGATGCCAGAATGGAGCTGCTGTAGAAGTTGAGATGAGGGCTATCGATGCCGTCGAGCCACCCTTGAAACGCGTGTTTCCGCCAATTCCATGGCCCGATGGGGTGGCATGAGGAGATCCAAGTATCTCGTCATCGTTCAAGGGAACATCGCTCACTCGGAGGTCGTCGGGATCTGGCTTCTGTGCCTGTGCTGCCACGAAGTCAAGATCGGCTCTGAGAAACGCATACGAGAGGACGGTCTCGATAGGCACAGCGGCAGTCTCGTCAGCGTCAGCAGCTTGATTGAAATACTCGGGGCTAAACCGTCGAAAATATCCGCCAATCGTACGCTTGTATTGTGCCACCAGATCTCGCTGTAATTTGAGTGCCTTTGCCGAATCCCGGACATCAAGTGGAGGAGATGAGGCACCCTCCATGGATTTTCCGTGGTGTGGAAAATGTGTGTGGCCCTCCTGGTCGCGTCCAGGGATCTTCATCTCTCGTCTGGCATCTTCCGGGCTCTTCATTTGCACAGCGTCCAATGCTTCCTTTGTAGTAAGAGGTTTGCCCTCAGCAGGAATAGAGCGATTTTCTCGTCCAGGTTTCCTTTTCCTGAGACTACTCTGGAGCCCGAATTCAACTGAGGCCTGCTCGATGTATCCATGCAATTCATCCCGCAAGAAGTGGGAGCATTGGGTGCCGCCGTGCCCGTCGAACACGGCAAAGTAGAAAACCTGAGGATCACCAAGAATGCTGTCGGCAGGTTTTGCCTCCCCCGGCTTCTGTCTGACACTTTGCGGCGCTCTCTTAGCAAATGCAGGGATATCAATGGTTCCAGCCTGGTCAGTGTCCTCGTTGTAAGGCCGGCTACCCCGGGAGCTGGCTGTCCCAAGATGATGCTTTGCACGACGCAATGGTATCCTAACTACCGTTGTATCTCGACTGGGCATATATGGCGGGGCAATCGCAGGCGACGAGCCAGGTTTCTGCGTATGAGGCATTGAGGCATCGCGGGGTAGTTTGTGACCAGGGCCTCCGATTCTTGAAGAGTCGGGATGGAGCGACGACGAAGGGAGATGGGTAACAAAATATGTATGGAATCCACGTCGCGATTCCCCAGGGCGTTTTAGTCTAACTGCTCCATGAGAGTTCTTGGAGAGCTCGCAAGGCTCTGATGGTGCGGAGGATTGTAAACCTCGGCAGGCTGTGTGTCGTATCGATTCGCTAACCAGCGTTGTGTACCGTGCGCTTCCAATTCCATGACTCGATTTCAGCGCAGAGGCGCGACAATGGGCCGGAAAGGTGTTCAGGGTTCGTGATCGGATAGAGGCTTGTGCGGTGGTGCTGGCGAAGGTGTCGTAGAGACGGCTCTCTGCCCGGTGCGCCCGGTGCGCCAAAGAAGCCATTGGGACTTTGTTATCCCAGCGGCCCAAACTTTGAGCTCTCTAGCATCACCTTCAGCCAAATGATGTTGGCGACCGGCTCGTGGCTAAGGATTCCAGGCATGTAGCAGGAAAGGAGAAGAACGGGAGGCTTTAGCACTAGCGGGCGGCCTGGAAGTTACACCACAGCCAAGCACCAGCCTGTTTCCCCCAATCAAAGAGATGCGATAGGGTAGAGAGACGCTGTCGGTTCTAGACAGGGGTCGGGTTCCCATCCGAGTGCGGTCCGCGGGGGTTTTGGTGGCAGAAATTCGATGAGGAGGCAGTTGGGGATGATGGACAGAGGAGGAGCTGGCACTTAAAGCGAGGTTCTACGCTGGTTGGCCCTGGCCTAGGCTCCGTTGGTTGAGCTCTCAGGGCTAGGACAACTATTTCCGCAGGTGGATCCACTGCACGCGCAGGTGACGTACATGGAAAGTCCGGGCAGTCTTTCCAGTTGTGCAGTTCACTGAATGGGGAACAGGGGCTGCACAGAACCCCTCCACCATCCAAGAGCACGCATTTGATCCATATATGTATCCTTGGGCCTGTAGCTTTAGGGAGGTATCTACGGGCTCCGACAGCGGACCTCAAAGGGTAAAATGCATCAATCCGGCCGTTACGGGCAGCACCAATACGTCCAGGTAGAGGACAGCAGACAGGTGCAATTTATTTCATACATTCATACCTACTGAAAATGCCTTACCTCACTTGGTAGGTAGTTACGAGCGTACAGAGTCTATGCTACCGAATATTGGGATGGAAGTTGGGAGGAAACATGGTAGAAGTGGATCAACGCAGTGTTCCGATAGGACTGATAACGTTAACTCGTGGATGTCCTGGTTCACCTGCTTTAGCTCTGGAGTGAGCACGGCAGCCAACAGCCCAACCAGCTCTTCCGACAACAAATAGGCTACCTGACTCGCCTTGTATAAATATCCATGTCCGAGCTGATGACACTCTCAGTAGCATGGGCGCAGAAGCAGAAGTGTCAGAAGGCCCTGCTGCCAAAGATGGTGACCCGAGACTTGTCCAAGTCGCCCCACGGGGGGACATCGTTCTCGACGTGACCTTTGGAACATCCCCAGAGACACTCAAGAAGTGTCGCAAAGCAGCACAGGCGGCCGCCAAGAAGAGGGGCCCCAGCAATCGTCCCGAGTCGCTGATCGTGGCACAGCCCGCCTTCCATGCAAAAGTCAGGGTGGCATATCGGGCCAGCCTCGGTGCCCTGATGAAGCACTCCAAATACTTTGCCAACCTGCTCTCCAACCCTCACTTTCAAGAGTCGAAGCTCATCACGGATGCGCATGCTCGGATTGCCTCCCAGGACCGTGAGCCCAAGGACGTTGAAGCGAGCGAGCTTCCCTGGATCCCAATCGCGGACGATGACGAGGCTACCGGGATGGCGGGGCGTGAGTCCATCTTCGAGGACTTGCTCCTCATCCTCCATGGCAAATCGCCAAAGGCCACCCACGCAACCATGGCCTACGTGACCACCCTGGCCATAACTGCAGATCGTTTCGACTGCGCCCCCGTGATTTCTCACGGGTTGAAGGACGAGCTGAAGTTCAAGTGGCCCAACACCCGTACCAGGCCATATCGTGATGATGCCGGCCGGTTGACCGATGTCGAGCAGACACTCCGCCAGAAGATCCTCGCATCGTGGCTCCTAAACAGGCCGGTGTTGCAAGCCTCGACAAAGGAGCTTATTCTGCGAGGCTCGAGGATCTGGTGCGCCTTCAATGACGCCGAGGCCGATGCGGACGCCGGAGCATCCTGGTGGAATCTGTCCGATGGCTTAGAATGTAAGCGTCACCCAGAACAATGCTCATCATATATTCTCTTCTTCCCAACTGACCCAACCTACCAAACCAAGACGAACTGCAGTATCGCAGAGAGTGCATCCTAAACACCATCGCCTCGGTGCAGAGACACTTCCTGGATCTATATTCCTCCCGTGAACGACAGTGCAAGCTAGGATACGACTCCAGCGCAGCATGCGACTCGTTCCAGCTCGGGCAAATGCTCAAGTTCCTCCTCTCCAAGAACCTCGCCTTCCTGGTCGACTTCAGCCCCTCCTCGCTCGACTCCCTCCCCGACGCCTCCATGCTGGACATTGAAGACCTCCTCTCCATCCTCAAGCAGTGCCCCAACTACCAGATCGACAAGCACCACACCAACTGCGGGCTGCGCATCCGGATCGAGCCCATCATCGACTACATCCGCGCCATGCTGTCGTCCGACGCCGTCTTCATCTCCCCCTCGGACTGGTCGAGGAACAGGGCCGCCATATCCTGGGCATCTGCCAAGGAGGCCGACGGCGACAGCCGGGCGGAGGAGAGGCCCGGTCGCGCTTTCGCGTTCACCAGGGCGTTGGCCAACGACCCGCGGCTGCGGTACGAGAATACCATGTACGCCGGTTCCATGGCAAAGAAGCTTTTCTTGGCCGAGTCCTGGGATTGGACGCCGGAGATTTAAGGGTATTTGAGTCTGAGTCTAGGTAAACATTGTTGCAAACTTACAACTCAGTTGCTTATATAGTTTCCACATCTCATCAAGTTTATAGAGTATACATTGCACGATGACGGGATCATAGAGGAAGAAATAGCCAACATATTTGATAAATCTAAGTGTTTGGAATTCAGAGCTGGCTGAAGTGCACCCATCGGACATTGGGCATAGAATGAAAAAAGGACTATTATGATCAAATCCAAAAACCCAAGAAACAGTATATATTTCAACCATTTACAAAACGAAAAACACTTGCTGTCTGTAGAAGATGCAAGCTACGGGTTCACGCTGGACAGTGACCTACACTATCCTTTCACCCCAGAACCCGATCCAAGTTCCCCATTTACACCTATTGCGCCAACCCATGCTGAGAAGCGCAGCACATGGCCACTTAAAAAAATGCTATCAGTTCTGGCGCATAAACCAGGGCTGTTTTATTACAATAAACGATGACAAAAAAGACAATAAAAAAAGAAACAAGGAAAGAGCTTGGTGAGGGAAGTCGCAACATCGCAGCCTAGACCAGTCGTAGGTGGAGGAATAGGCGACTGATAATGCGTCAAGTACGCTCACTGTCGGAATTCCTCAGATTCCGGAGCTTGGATTCGGCCGTATATCGTACGTTGTTCTCGTTTGTCTTTGATCGGTGGGTTCCAAACTTCAGTTCAGACCGATCGAGGTGGGTGCTTCCATGCAGAATTAAGCGTTCTTCTTCGCAGGAAGGCCCTTGGCCTTGCGAGTCTTCACATCGACCTCGGCAAGCCACTTGCTTGCTTTGACAAGTTGAATAACATTGAGGAACTGCTTGATGGCCATGATAGGGAAGCTGATGCCGGCCAGAGCCCAGGGGACAGACGAATCCATCTTGTTTGCACGGGCAAGCTCAAGAGCTGCTGCGCTGAAAGGGTCGGGGAAGATTTGGCGAAGAAGAGAGCTGTTGACAGGGGCACCAGGCTCGATGCGACCGCCACTGTCCTCCACAGATTGGATCAGGTGGGGAGAGAGAAGAGGCGAAGAGAAGGAAAGCAAGTAGAGGGCGATGAAAAAGAGCTCGTTCAGGGCGCAAACGGTAAACAGAACGTTCTATTCAAGGAAATATACTGTTAGACAGGGCTGGCATACATTTTCGGAGGGGGTAACAAACCTTGTTGGTGTAGTACAAGTTGAGCAACCAGCTCTGAGACTTGTCGATGTTCTTGTGACTCGAATCAACACCACCAACAACAAGAGTGGCATACATATGCATGTAGTGGCTGGCAAAGTCGAGGGCGATGAGGCCCTGGAAGACAATAGCCCATCGTGGGAAGGCAGAGGAAAGGAAAACTAGGAGACAAGAGGTCGTGCAGCGATCGGTGACCATGTCGAGGACAGCGCCGAATCGAGTTGATTGGTTAAAGTGACGCGCAGCGTAGCCATCTAGGGCATCGAGGAGGCAGGAAATGCTGTAAAGAACGGAGCATGTGCGTGGGTGCAAGGGCATGTAGTAGAGCGAAGCGAAGGCGAGGACAATGCGCGTGTAGCCTACAAGATAACGCCAGAGAGTTAGCAACCCAGCCAAGGCTCCTGTAAAATGGGCTCAATGATTGTCGTACCGATGATGTTGGGCCAGAAGAGGAAAATGTTCTCGCCATCAGTCGTCTCCGAGGTTTCCGGCGCGACGGGATGGGCAGACCCGTTGCCGTTCATCGTCAACGAGGCCTGGACATCAAGGTCATCAGGCGAGGATTGGGCAGCGGCTGCCTTAGCGGCGCTCTGCCTGGTCTGGCGCGTTGACATGTTTAGACGTTTGCGAGTATAAAAATATGGGTGTGGTAGTTGGGAGGAGAATCGGTTCGAGGAATCTGTCAGACGAGCAAAATTGTCGATAAGTAAGGTAGGTCAGCCAGCGTGGAGCTGGTCAGTGAACCTTCTGGCACTGGCGACGTGGCAGAAAAAAGGGCCCTTGAACCTTTGACGTCAGATGGCGGTACGGCCGCAGGTGGTCGGAAGAAACAGAACAAATGAAACGTATGAGAAGCAAGCTTGGATTGGGATTATAGGAGAGGGAATGAATGGAATGAGAAGGCGAAGATCTTGGCAGGGGGGCAGAAGGTTTTCTCGAGGGACTGTCGCGGCCTGTGACAGCGTCCACCATCCCATCGAACAATCTCTGGACGGACGACGACGTAATTATCTGTTAGGTGGTACGCAAGTCTGGCAGGTAGGTTAGATAGTGGCAAGGTTAGCAAATAGCGTGTGCCTCCACTAAGTCGCCCCCCTTTGCAGGTCTGTGGCTGCAAACCCGCTCTATAATTTAAGCCTCCGCACCGACAAGCCCGCGACAGGGGTCCCGGATTTGTCGGTGCCTAGCGAGACCTGAGAGATCGGCTGTTGCGATTGAAGGCATTTTGGAAAATGTCAGCCTAACTGGGGCTTCCTCTCACGATTCTCCCTGTGGAAAAGCACTCCCAGAATACAAGACGCTGGTGCCGTTGCACACCGAAGTTCCTGATCAGCCAACACGCCAGACCTGCAGGCAAGTTAACCGCTGGAGCTGCGGAGCGGACAAGATCCGGCCAGCCCGCAGCAATTTGGTATCAATTTGCCAGTAGCACGCCAAGCTGATGGAGATGGTTTATGGGGTGGAGTCTCCATTTGGCGTCTTGGTGGACAGGGACAGCAGCGCCGAGCACCAATCAAGGCGCAGTTCGTCGGCCATTGACAGATCAACTCGCAGCAAAAACGGACGATACACGAACCGTACTGCCAACAGTCACGCGACACGACCTCAGAGCAGCTGGTTGCATTCAGAGAAGCTCCATGACCGACAATCAATGGCCTAGAGCAGGCCTTTGGCACCAGCAGCGACCAAGAGCTGTCTCGTGTCGAGAATCTTCCCACATCTTCCCGCCACTTTCACGTCAGTTTCTCTCTCTCGCTAGTCTGGCATCAGAGGCCAGTACGAGTGACAGCAGGCTAAGTGTTGCCAGATAATGGCATTCTGGTCCATTTTTGTAACACTTACCCTCCAGCTGTAACTCAATATCTCACAAGCCTGGAGAGTATCCGCCGCGTGGCTCATCTAGCATAGTGTGACCGTCCCTTCAAAAACATTAGTCAATAGGTACCAACCTCAACGGTCAGCACGGCAGGTTCGGATGAACACCATGACCTTGGCCCTTAGCGATGCTTAGCTGGCATAGGCGCACAACGCTCATGTTTGTTTTCTGCCACCCGGCTCAGCCGCTGGTCGCCGCTCGTGCAAGCTCATTTCCCTGCTTTGACACACGCTCAGGCGCGCAGAGAGTGTGATAACATTCATTCATGCAACATGATCTTGTGGGCAGAGAACGGCCACTTGAATAATTCGACTTGTAAGATTTTCTGGGAAAGCGAAGGGTCGCTTCCGGAGCATTCGTTGTGAGTGTTGGGGAAGTGGATCATCTCTCAACAAGTTGTTACCCCATAGTGGCTTCTGTGAGATAGTCTGCAAATTGGTTGTCGGGTAAACTCTTTAGCCTCGCGAACGTACTAAATGATGAAGACCATCCGGTTGGCTCAAGGGAAGGCACTTTGAACCTATTTATCACATCAAGGACCCGGGATGTGGGGTTAACTTGGAGGCGGGTCGAGGGAATTGGCTGTGTTCATATAACAGTCCCTCTGGTTGGCCGTGGACAAAGACAGTCTGCAACCCGCAAGGATATATACCTGACGGGGTAGTTACTGTCAACATAGCCGCGTCTGATTTCTAGCCAGAATGTGCTGCGCGATGCCCAACGCTCGTAGCGCGAGACCTCGCCATAGAACGCAACACAGCTTACTACGCAAATCGTTCCAGCGTACTAATCATACTTGCTCCTTGATCCTTGGCAGAACAAGTTGATCAGACATGTTGCGGGCACGCAAGACGCTCGTGTTTCTCAGCCTTACCATAAAACTCCCTGGATGATAAGCAACTGACTTCGCTAATCGCCGTCAATATCCGTGTTTGGGATCTAATGTAGGGTATAAGTAAATCGTACGATTATAAGTAATACAGCAGGGGGCAAGAAAGTAGTGCTCATTAGTCCTTGACCTAGGGATCAAAGCACACTATGATACCCTCCATCGCAGGCTGTAAGCCTGCCGCCGGGACATTTAATCAAACCAGTCAATGAATAGGTGGGTTACTAGCAGCCATCGCCAGGGTCCGTCAGACAGGCCAACGTTAGCTCGCTCTCTGGTTGTTTGGAGTCAACCGTTTCAACCACTCGTACAAATCTAAGCCAATTAGGAAAACACTACTCCAGCTAAAATGGCGGAGAGGAGGGAACAAGCCAGGTCGCTTAGGCCGGCAATGCGACGTTGATCCCGAAGACGGGGTCCAGGTACTCAAGCTTGGACCCCCGGCCTCAGCTCTCATTCCCGGCGATTGAGTGAGTCGGGTTCCACGCAAGTCAACCTTGATGTGTTGTAACCTTCTTAGTGTGGTGTGGGCTAATGCTCGACAGACGTGACCAGGGTGTCCTTGATAGAGCAGTCGACGGGTTTCTCCTAGTCTACTCTGGTGCACTTGGCAGGTTTAGATCATCACCCCAATCGGAACCACCCCCGACAAAATCGCCCAAATCTGAGGACTCGCCAGTCTACTTTTGTCCTGAATTGATAAGCGAAGAGAGGCTGGTATTCAACAAAGTGCCTTTCGTGTCAAAAGTTCGTGTTGACCGTCCGAGTGGCGAGGTGTTGTGAATTGGGTTCCATTGAGGGGACTATCTGCACGCGGATGAACTGTGTTATCCAATAGATCCTTGCCAAAGGAGCTGGCAGAGACCCAAATCCTGCACCCTCGACCCAATCTCCAAGTTTAGCCTGCATAGGTGGGAAGATCGGGATATACAGGGTTTCCAGGCTAGGCGTCCAGGGTGCACTACTCTATGCTCACGAGCAGCGTCCGGGCCGAGAGAGTGTGCCGTTTGTGACATCAAAAGCAGACATTGAAACCTCGA